GCGGGAGCACCGCTGTGCTTCCCAAGCGGCGCACTATCCAGTGCGCCACCGGGCCGGCCCTTGTTTGTTTGTTTTTTGAGTGAGGTATTACTCCTTATCACTGAAGCCTGAGATATTTACAGTTGACTGTAAAACTAGAAATATGCATTGCAGTTCCCCAGGGGAGCCAGGAACCTTCACTTCCTTTAAAATTCAGCCTTTCTAAATGAACCCTACCTGATGCCTGGCATCCCTGCATGCTTCTTTCCCTGCAAGCTGTAACTGTGCACTTGCAGCCTCCTTTGAAGGTACTTGGTGTTACTCAGTTATGTCGTTTGCAGTATGAATGGATGAAAACATAAATGAAGCAGACCTTACAATTATAATTATGTTGTAAACAGCTTGAGAGTGAAGATTAAAACTTCTGTTTCTTTTGCATTCACCCCTCACCAAAGGCACACATATTCATTCATGTTCTTTCCCTCCCCCACTCTCTTATTGTACATATGCACAGAAGGAGTCATATAGAAATAACGCTGGAATGTGGAAACAAACCAGCCTGCAGACCCACTAATCTCAATGGTCTTTTCTTGGCAGTAACAAACAAGAAACCCACACAGGCGTCCATCACAAAGGTCAAACAGTTTGAAGGCTCCACATCGTTCGTGCGGAGATCACAGTGGATGCTCGAGCAGCTTCGCCAGGTTAATGGTATCGATCCTAATCGGGTGAGTGAATTGTCCAGTGCTGAGCAAAGGAATTCTCTTTACAAGATGACTCTGATTGACCTTGGTAGTGGTGGCTGTAGTCTGAATTATTCTTAACAAGGCTGTTTCTCTATTTCAGTTATGTGACTAAAGCTTTGTGATGTCTGTTCCCTCTTGTGGAATATTATAAGTTTTTTTAGTCATGTTTGATGGAGGAACCTAAGGGTATGCATATTGAAGAAATGCTTCCTCCATTTGTGCTTAGCAGAGTGCAGAGGACAGAGCTCAGACACTCATATTCCTGGTTATCAATATGAAAAAAAATTTTCATCAAAGCTTTATTTATCTCCTAATGCCACTAATGACAAGGCTTATTTACCAAAAATCAAATAAATGAATGGCACCTTAGAAAGGTTATGTATTAGGATTCCATTGGATTTAATAAGGGAAACATTTTATGATATGTATTCAAAATACATTCCCTTTTGCTCATGCACACACACCACACAAAACATCAATAACGAAGGATAATAAAATGTAAATTGCTACTATATACTGAAACAACCAGGGGGGATCTTTTTCTACGAAATTTTAGGGGCAAGATTGACAGAGGTCATTGCTGAGAACTGAAGGGTTTTTTCCAAGTAACTGGGAAGACAATAT